AAATCACACTAAACAGAAGACACGAAAGAAAAATCTAAACATGCCCCATTCCCTGTCTTGTGCTGTTCCTGCAAGTTTATCATTTTTAAATGGGCCAAGGGAAAGGGGTTTATATGTGTATTAACGCGTACTTGTACCGGACCAAAAGGCCATATCGAGGGACATTTGTCATGTCGCCTGTCATGGTGAATGCTCTTTGCATTTCCAACACAGAATCACATCGCGTAACGTGATATGCATCAGATATGGCTCAGAAGAAACAGCCATTCTTCTTCAAGGCAATGTTGCTCCCTCAACCTTTCCCAACTACATTGTCTGTTTAGCCACTGAAGAGGCAGTCACCGCTATAATAATGTTTTGATACCATCTTGGCCTCCACCCGATATAAACTTTACCAAACTCTATCTGTAAAGCGCAACCCTAAAATGACTCCGTTAATTATTACACAAAACTTTATCTAAATTCAGTTGACTTTGTTCAATTTTTTATGATAAAGAAAATTGTGGGTACAGGTGGGACATATTTTCTGGTAGATTACTTCCACACTTTTCACGGGGTATAAAAGGCATTCCATGGTCAAGCCTTGTATAATAACATCCATTTATTCTCAAGAATGGCTAAAGGACTTGTTGATTGAGTAACCCGTGCTTCACTGGAGCTTTTGGGGATTTCTCATCAGGGTTGTTTTGCTTTCGTAATGACTTGCACATGCCTGATCGACCGTGGCCAATGACATAACAACGGTCACAATCAGGTATTACACTTTACAAATACTAATATACCTACCTACTTAAAGCCATATAAACATGGGAACGCTGGGAAGATGGGAGAGCAAGGGGGACATGGGGGCCAGAGAAATGACCCGAACCGGTAACCTTGGGGACAAAAACATCATCCGATTGAATGGTGACATTTCACAGATTTTGACTCCGGTATGTGGATCCTTTATCTGAGAGTTGGCGACCACTGTCGTGTTATGAAAAATCGGTACACCTGGGGGTGACCCCTTCGCTTGAAGCAGATGGTGCTAGCTTTGATTTTGAAACAAAATGGATTCAATGACGTTGTGTGGATAGTATGTTGGTGTATTTGCACATGAACATTTTCAAAACATAACACACAACGGGCTCTATGACGCGAAATCAACAAACCCCTGTGGAAGGATCAAAGTATATGTCAAAGTCAGATGCCTTCTCTAAATACTCGACTACACTGCAAAAGAAAATTGCAAAACAGGGATCAGTAACAGAAACCCAAAACTAATGTATTGACAAGGTAAATGAGACCATGCACTGGTGTATTGGTCGTTATATTTCTGCATTGTCCATTATATTTGGGACGTGCTTTTTCCCACTGAGACTACTCCTTTGGGCACAGGGAAACACTGTGCGTCGACTTCGTCTCTGGTTCCAAGCCAATAACTTATGTCAAATTTCTCTGCCCTGAGGCAAGTCAATCTGCACTACCTCGGGACAAAAGGGAGTTTGGTTTCTCCACTTAAAAAATAACAAGAGGCTGAAATTAGACCCTCTTGTGCAGCCCCGATACATAATACGAGAGTTATTCGATATATTATTGGGATTCTCTATCCGAGTTTAACGGGTACTTTAAGCGTAACCATGCATGTTTGTTTTACACCTTATACAGGATGTGAAATTAAAAACTTGATTGTTTGACTATTTAGCCTTGTTTACGGTTGGTGATCATTAATCCGTGCTATAAATTTGCACTTGTTTAGCTGTATCATAATAAAATGGCGAATGAGTAGCAAGAGCCATAACTATAGCCTCGAGTTCAGGTGATGGATTGAATTTTCTTCCAGGACATTTTAAAATCTAATGGTAGAGTTTTTGGACAGCATTAAATGTATCAGTATCCGGTGTTGTCAAGTGATTGCTCCAATCATAACCTAACCAACAGAAGTCCTCAAAAAGATCTAGACCATTACCACCAAGCGTTGCGAATTTTATCTTCCTGAGACGTATCATCTTCGGCTATAATTTTGTAATAAATCTCAATTTACAAGTAGGCAGTCTACATGCTTTGCATATACAGTACACAGATCGACGATGTTTACCCGTGTTTCGCATTTAAAGGCCTACCTATCCGACGTATGAAAATACTGAGCAATGTGCTTTAAATAGGATGTTTTTAAAATCTTTGGAAAATACTAAGGTGTATCACTCTCGATCTTCTAGTCTACCTCGGCATTTTATGTATGCCTAAGGAGTCTAAGAGTCTACTTGAACTACAATTCGTTTTTCCATCAAGGGTATTTTAAAGGGTCCTCAGTTTAACTTTGTCAACTTAAGAATGTAGAGTTTTGATGCCAGGGATTTGCGTAACTGAACATGGCGTTCCGGCTATGAAAGATTAGTTCCACAAACGTAACAACACATCACGTGACATCATGTTGCAGACGATATCCGTAAATCATGAAGACACGTCATATGTTAACGAAGGTTTTGGCATTCAGGGTTGAAAGGGTTGTATTGTCATTCATATACATTTGATGTATTCATAACTCTATGTACAACAGGGAAGGGGACGAATCAAAGAGACTGTCCTCCCTTAAAGCTATATCCTTGACGCCAGGATTCTCTGCCTCTGTCATCTGTATGCAGTGTCAATCGTGGTCCTGACGACATCTCATCAGTACCACCACACTCGTGGGTTGTGACAGCTATATTTTGTCCTTTTACACTTAGACATGTTTTAACTTATATTTCAATGATAGAACATGTATTGACGGATAGCGTTTCAGAAACTCGTGATTCTTACAAACACTCATTCAGGGCGAATTACCCATAAAAGGTGTAAAAGCTGCCAGATACATAAACTGAAAATACAGCTGCATATACTGAAATCATATATCAGAAATAAAATAAATACAATTGTTCTCACAGTTTCTCTCTGGGCCTATTGAAGGTTTTTCAAATGAAAATTAACTTGCACAACTTTTGCAGCACAATGTGCGTTCCGCTTCACCATTCAAGATTAACAAGCTAGGATAGGTTCTCGTGGCTCGTGGCGTTGCGCATGGCACGCTTTTTAGCACGGAGGGCAACCGTAAACATGTAGGCCTACTTGTTGCTATTCAAAGACGCGCCTTCGAGTGCGGACTTGAAGTGCCCAGAGACAGCGTCATTTTTTAAATGCATATTCATCAAAATATCTGTAAGTCACATCACCGTGTTTGCCACACGCAACAGACGTGTTTTCCAAACATGACAATCATGTGCTTCTTTTAAATTCTTAAAAAAAGATCTAGATTTAGGTTTTATGTTAACACGAAGAAGCAGACTGCCGTGGTTGGGGCACTGTGACTAGTGCGCACAGGAAACAATAAATTCAACACAGTGAGACAAGGCCGCTGATATAGTGGAAAACTCGAGGTGTTTTACCGAAGTGCAAAACATGACACTAATTCATACCTTTGCCTTCTTACTCAAAGCTCGGGTGTGGAGGTCACAGGGTGACGATGGCCTACGGGGTTACAATTTATTTTACTTACTTTTTTTTTCTTTATACAGATAAGTGCGCCTTTGATTAACGCAAAATTGTGAGCAGTAACCTTAATAATTTCAGCTCCTTACAACCCTTGTTATTAGTTCCATCAAGCTGTTGTCAAGGGGAAGAACCGCGGGGAAATTTGCATTATTTTTAGACAGGCAGGGGCGTGGAAGTTAACCTCGGAAGGATAACGTCCTCGGCGCGGGTTCTTCTTTGGTAGGATCAATCTTGTGGCAGAGATCCTGTTATGCACCAGTACAATGTATGCTTTGGATACTGATAATAGTTCGTTATTTTGGATCCTTCTGGTAACGCAATTTAAGTTTTGTTTTTCCTCTGAGGTATGGGGCACATTTGGCTCGTTAAACTTATATTTGACATTAACCACCAAAGGATACGTAATATTGAAGAGAAGTAACGGAAATGACAGGAGAGATGGCATGTATTTGATTAATGGAAGTAATTGTTCTCCAGGTTAATTTATCTATTTTTGGAGAACCAAGAGAATCGCAACTTCTCTTTTATCAAAACAATATAGATATGCACCTTGTTCCAAGATATGTAAAGCTATTGCCAGTGGAAAGCAACTTATTTGCTATTGTGTCAAAGTTAGAGATGAGTCACCGCCACTGAGTTTCATTGTAAAACCCAAGGTGACATCCATCACTGATTTTAAGGTATGCGGAGTTATGGAGGATGCGCACATTCTTACACAGTGTTGATCATAAAAATGAGAATTGTGGTTTCCGGAAGGTGCGACCAAACGCAAGAAAAGGGTGGCTTTTGACCGCCACCAGAAGCGGGGGTTGGGATTGGTATGTTTTTCACTGATTGGCGATAGGTCAAAGCTACCAGGACTAGGTCGTAAACAAATTGCCATAAAACATAGCCGCAAGATGCGTCGGGGCGACGGATTCCTTCCCCTTGAGTGATAAAATACCAATTCACTTTTATAAATGATTACCCATCTGCTGTGAAATTAACACGGTGACAAATACATACTTTGCGGTGAGGCGCTTTTCAACACAAAATGACAAAAGGCAGGAATGAATTAGATGGATTTGTGTAACTTATGTCCTTTCCGGCCAGGGTTGTCGCGTTCCCGTGTATATACAGGTGCGCTCTTTCTTATCCGTGACCAACCGAACGAACGTTGTACCTTGGGCTAATTTGGTGTTTAGAATTTTTCACTCTGTGGACTCTGTAGAACTCTGAAGGGTCTATGTGAGGCTAATTTACTGTTTAACGCTTGGAGACAAAGCAATTAATGAATCAGAACAAAAGGTACCGTCTACTAGATTAATATGCAGGTGGCTTGGTCGTAAAAGAGGGAAAGTGACATATTGGACGCTTCCAGGTCGTGCACCGAGACATACTGCTCGCGCACATCGCTGAAGCCTTTACTCTTAGAGATGATAACATGAATGAAAATGTTGGAAAGGTGAATGAAATGACAGCAATAAAAAGGCAGACATCCCTGTATTTACCTTGTAACATTCCAAGGCCTCTACTGCCCGCGCGTATCCTTCCGTTGAGTATACACACAAAGCGGAAAGCAGCTCAAAAACTTGCTTTTTTGTGGTAACATTGTCCGTATCGAGAGCTGGAAAAGAGAAGAAAAGTAAACATTTAGATTTTATTTGGCAAGATTTACATAAGCAAATTAGCGTACAATTGCAATCAGCCTCGCTCTGCTAAGTACTGAAAGGGACATGGAATATCCATTGAACGGTAACGCTGTTTGGAAGTACTCTGTAGAAAACATTCGGAATAAATATTGACTCTCTTTCGCGAAAACCTCCGTTAAGCCATTGTATCTATTATAACTTTTGAGGACCTTACTACTTTTTTCAGTTCAATCTGCATAAAAGCATGTGCAAATTATTAATGAAAGCATGTTAAACAAGGCTGCCCTTTATCGGCTTGTTAAGATGAAAGAGTGTCGGGGGTCGCAGTTAATCATAACGCAACTAAAGCTTAGAGGGGACATTTTGTTAGACTTTTATAATCTCGTAAACCCGAAGTCGAGAGATCACCCAATTGTGCCCTCCATCGAACTATTGTAGTATAATCTTGTACTGAAAGCCCCCAAGGCGGTGGTGCCTTAACACACAGAACAAAAATTTCTCAGCAAATTTGTTATCTTTTACACCCATAGCAAACAGGCCATGAAGCCCCGTGTTAATTAATTATTTGATCGGTTGCAAATATACATTATAAGGCAAATCTACAGAGAGCCAGGAAGATATAAAATGAAGCCATTTTCTAGCCAGGCTGGTGAGCACAATAAACTCAATATGATAAATCAAATTATAAATCGAGTCCCCCAGGGTGACGAAGAATGGTGACTTGTCGCGCACCCAGCGACACGCAAGAAGCGTTCACGAAAGACTTTTTGAAAACTATCTTCTGTCGGTGTGTTATCATTGCGAATGTTTCGGCCCTCAAAAGTTCATTAAATCCCTATCTATTAAAATGTATTGGTCTGATTCAACGAGGGTTTTGCGAAGAAAGTTGATTGCAATCAGTCAAAGTTGGTGCTGTGTCACAAGTGTAATGCACTTTAGATTATCTGACAAACTAAATACGCCGGGTTTGAACCGGTTTTATAGAGACAAATGTGAACTCGACCAGGCTAGTCAGGAATCATTAACGAGCAACTTAGGCTGTGTTAGTCACCGATAGAAGAGTTTACCTGTAGCTTATTGAACAGGTGAATTCCCGTCTCCCGTTCCGTGTTATACAACCTCGGTCAAGAGTTGGAATGATTACAGGAAGCTATTTTCATTGAAGTTCAATTAAATAAGACCGATCACAGCTTGGTTCGTGGTCATTATATGAGGATTAGCAAGGTTTTCTTACATCAAATCGTTCTGTTAAAGGCTGATATTGATGTTTTCGATTTGAGACCTGATAAGTGAGAGACGGGGAGCACCAGCTCTGTAGTGAAAGTAGTACACTAACCTTACTTCCTGGCCTGAACATATAGGTATATCAGAAAAATTTTCNTATAAAGGTCTACTTTTTTTTTACTTTTATTTGTGACATTAAAGAAGTGAAAATGCGATGTTATAAAAAATTTTAAAAAAAATCATTAGCATTGAAGACATATATTAGATGCGCCCTTGAAAACTCTTCCAAGTTTGAAGTATCACCTCGCCTACAGTGACTGTGCCCTGTATCTTAGATCATACTCATATAAAGATAGAACGATATCAAAAGGTCTGTGATTAGTGCGGAAAGGTATGATATTGGGATTATTTCTAAGTCCACGAATCAGCTTGTATACAAACTCGTTGTTTGCTCTTTTGACACAAATTGATGGAATGAGCTTAAAATGTGCGCCGGGAAAGCTCCAAAAAGCCAAATCGGACTTAAATGGCGTCCAAGTAGAAATATTTGGTTGGCATTTTGCACCCGAGGGTTATATATTACTGTAAGATTGGTGTTTGATAACCAAGCGAGATAGAATGGAACCCCCACGAGTGTTTTATCCCCATTTTTAAGTGAACAACACTCATTTGGTCATGTTGCAGTGATAAATTGGCGTTTAATTTTGAAATGTCTTTAAAACCTGCCCCCATTTGCATCGGCGCAGACTGTTTTCAATACCCACCGAAGGTTTAATACGGTTTACAATGTAAAGGACACCCTCTGTCAAAATACTTTAAATACTCAGTCACACGTTGCCTCGAGAACAAGATACTTGAGATGAGTGATTCAGTGGTCTCTTCATTAAAGGGGGAGTAAATGAGATATTCATTGTCTCAAATCTTGATATTTTAATTTTCAGACAACTCGCGTTAATGGTCAAAAGCACGTTAGACCCTTTAAAGTAAAGACAAGTCGGTGCTAATCCTCCTCGGTCAGAATCTGCATTTTTACGCGGAATTAGGATGAAGGCTACAGCCATGACTAGAGTCACCCATTACTAAAGTAACAAGTCTTCGACAGGACCAAAGAGATGTGCATTTTGACAAACCCATAGGGCAGACTTACTTGCGGTTGTCTATGCATCGTAAGAATGCAGGTTTATCGCCTGGCTGAATAACATTTGCAGTCAACGCCTTAGAGAGCGAATTCGATAATTGCATTTTTTTTCGAGCTCAAATTCCGTGTAAGGTCCCTGAAAACCATCTTCTAACGTGATCTTTAATTTACCAAAACCACGTTTTAAGGGTAGTTACCGTAACACCTGTTGAATATGCAATGTTTTACACAAGGAGCTTTTCTTATCGCATTTCACACGGAGTAATAAGCGGTATTATGTCGTATGCATGCTAGCCCTCTGTAATGGATCCAAATCATTCTAGATAATGTGCTGGCAATGATATGTCTTCCTTGTGTTCAGACAGACTTGATTTGCCTTTGAACAACCAAAGTTTTACCTAAAAAAATGCCTAAGATCACGCATCAAGGAACAACCAATATTATGTCTTCGGTAAATGATGGATGACGCGAAACTAAATTATCTTCGAAAGACGAAACTTTTTTTTTTGATAAATCGATGGATAACACGAGATATATGTGAATGTCCAATCGATATGAATTTGAAAATATCTTCCAGTATAGTTTGTATGCTAATTTAATACGATTTCCGTTGGGTAAGATGTAAAAGTTATATTCTGTCTGGGAGAAGATTTTCCGCAAGAAAACGGATGGTGTTGCGAGTGCAAACATTTTTAATACTTAAAAGTAATGAATATTATGAGAACGAAAAAAGTTCGTTGACATTGTTTTGTAAACATCATCTTGTTTATTTCATACCTCAATTGAGGCAGGGTGGTGTCGCCCTTCTCTTGCATCAATATATATGAGACTCGTTTCTATTAAAAACTCTTAGCTCCTTTTTCCTAGGTGAGTGACTTTTATCACAAGACAGGAATGCTTTGTTGATATTATTTTATAAGTTTCGTCCACTATGGTCCGTATCTATGCCCCCTGACCCGAAGGCCACGGCTATCAATATTTACATGGAATTCAGATTCCTCCGGAGCTCAGTCATAATCAACCTTCGCTTATTTTACCTCCATCTAACATCCTTCCCGCCTTCTGGACACGAACTTTATTTGACTTCTTCTATTCCACCTTCCTTGGATAAATTTGCTAAGGATTAAACATGGCTGTTAACTAAATATGGGATCAAGTTTGCTCGCATTTTCTTGCAAGTATTAGGGAAATCTAAACCTTGTTCTTCCACTGCATTTCAAAAGAAAAATCTCGTATGCCTCGTAGTTCTTAAGTTGCGCATACACTCGATTCCATTTCGCGCATTTTTTTATTCACAAGGGTTTTTTTATTCATTATTGTTAAATCCGTATTTTTCATATTGGGAAGTAAAAATACAAAGATATTATCAATTTACGTTCTACGATATCTTTCACTTTGGACTTTCCTATTTGGTTAAAGCCCTGCAGATATCAAACCGAAAGTCGCCATCAAAAGGATAACGCGTCACTCTCTCCATCCTTTCTCAATGCCGACATGAACCCAGTTAAACCCATCACTTAGTTTTCTCTGGCAAAGCCACTAAATCATACTTTAAATAGTGTTTGAAGTATAATAGACAGACATACATCTATATCGTGTTGTGATATTGGGTCAGCCCACCACGACCAACATCGATATTCGTGTATGGATATTTTTCATAGCCGCGTGACCCGAACTACCTTCTTGTACCCGACTTGTCCCGGTGAATAAACCATCTATCTCTCGGTATGGCAAAAGACTTGTTAGGTTGTTTAAGTCTCAAACTGTGATTCACAACCATTTATTGTGCACCTCATACACGTCAATGCGAGGTGTCTTCCATTATTCATAGGGATGAGGGTCGCGTTAGACATGTCACGCTTTCTCAAACTGGTTCCACTTTTATATACAAGCATTGACTGTTTTACTGAAAAAAGCCATTACATGCCGAGGATCCATATACAGAGCTCTGACAGCGGCCCTCCCTTGTAAATTTGTTTAGAATTAAAGTTACACGACATTAAATCGTGTTTTAAAAACCTCTGTCGACATATCAGAGGTGACGACATGCTCAGAATACGTGAACTACGCAAAGGTGTTTATTAGCTGCATTAAATAAATGGGTTTATTGTACCGTGATTAGTCCGGTCATAGAAAGCAATGGGGTTTGTATAGTCGGAAAATAATGATGTTAAATCGCCTTGTTTTCCTTATTTTGGTAAGTGTTCAGGAGCATAGAGCTACTATTTTGGTGTTATAGACCGCAGTGATCGACAGTCTTACTTAATGAAATGCATCATTATCCGTGTGTAATCAACAACACTTTACGCTGAGGACAAAACGGGGGTTAGACTATTAGTGTTGATTATCGGGCGACAAGGATTTAACCAGTTTTTATTAAGAAATAACTAGTTTGTTTTCCCGCGATATGAGGCCTGATTAAGTCCTGCTAACTGATAACATCGGCGTAATTTGCAAATGACCATATTATCAATTCACCTTGTAGAAGGGAGATTTGAATGGGAGGTTTGTGTTGAGAGAATCCCATACACAAACGCCGCCTTTTATGCGGACATCGCACAGGTGATTTACAGCGTAGTGAGGCCATTCACTGAAGCGGGCAAATTAAGGTGCAAAATATCACACTGGGTATCTTAAACATACAGGTGGTTGCGGGGATATAATTTTTTAGCACAGCAAAATAATAGGAGCCCAGAAGGATATATGTATAAAGCATCAGTAATACCAGGTGCAATTCTAGACCACCCACCGAAATGTAGCTATATCAATTAAAATTCAACCCCCTGCTGTTTAACATTGCGATAGTCTAAATGGCTTGTCCACTTAGTCGGTTTACCACTGTGACCGTCCAAGACTCACCCGATGATAACTTGGTAATGAATTCCTTATTCTCCACAATGTAATCCAATCCTGACGTTTGTGAAGTCATGACTGCAACTAGAATTGGTACGTCACTTTAACTCCAGTAAAAAATACGAACTCCAAGCGTAACAGGCGGGAGTATCATAAAAACATATTCCTGTAGTATGACAGTCATGCGACAGCATATAGTGCTCTTGTAGGGTCTCTACAGATAAATCCAACGTTCTTGAGCTCCATAGTTGCGTCTCTGTGTGTTACCTGTTTCCTACCTGAATACACTATGACTTGGGGAACACTATCTTTCCACTTGGCTGAAGCCTCTATTGTCATTCGTCAGGCTGAACCTCATTCATTTCTATCCTGACCAATGACAGCGCTTCTTAACACAACGACCGCTTTCCGGCATCAACTCACCTGTGTTTTGGCTATTGCGGTCTGCTATATGGATGTACATGTATATGCACACCTTCTTCAGTGCGTATATTTTAATTACCTGCAATGTCGCAACCCAGGAGAATACGCATAGAATTAATGTCGTTAAATAATATCATGAAGGATATGTTAAAATATAATTTCACTGTGCAATGGATAGAAAAAATAGCAACACTAATAGACGGACTGATGTGGACGCACTCTCACAGTTTACAAATCATAGTCAGCACGTATTTCTGTCTATGACGGTATGCATACGATAAGCAGACAGACATTAAGTAAAATCATTAAGGCAAATTCGGGTATAAGCGAAACCTCATTTGTATCAAAAGGAAGCGAAATATGTCATTCCCTCACAAGAAGCTGTGTTCGCAAAGGCGTTAGCCATTCAAGTGCTTATTTTGGCAGTAGCTGTGAAAGGCTGATGTTTGTATTGGTTTTGCGGCTTCAGACACTTTCAATAAAGCGTAAGATGCTAACAGAATTTTGATGAATGAAGAGAGCGGATGTAGAACTTCATTGAGGTATGGACCAAGCTACACGAACTCTTCAAAGGTTCGAGCAATTAGGACCAACAAATTGAGCACCCACCCCCACCCCCACCCCCAGCCCAGCCCAGCCCACCCCAGCCCAGCCCAGCCCGGATATTGCGATCCGAATGCACTTGAAAAATGAATTTCGAAATTGAAACTTGTTTTTTTTGCACAATGTTTGCCCACGAGTGAAACTAAATGGCATGAACGTGGTGCCTGTTTCTTGTATTTACTGTTATTATTTTTGTCTAAATAAAAACATCTTAAAACATCTAAAAACAGCATACAGGTTGTGTGACTTTTCTCCTTAGTTCTGCGCTTGTTAAGACCATTTCTAGCAAATATCGGTGTGAAATTGATTGCCAAGAAATATTGCCATTCCCACCTTAAAACTACGTATACCGATACTTTCACACCAAAAATAAAGTTCACAAATTAAATTGCAGAAAATTAAAATTGATGGGTCATATGACGAGTACCTACGCCCGCCTCACCAAGGCCTTCCGTAATTTCTTTTAGTTGACATCATGTTTGAGAATGGTCGGTGAATGGATCGATGCCATGGTTTCTGGTATTTGACCAAATAGGTATGATGGGCTGGTGGAAAATATTGTATATGTTTCTTCTAAGTATAGCAATTCAATATTGACTGGAATTTATATGAAGATTAGCATGCCATCTATCGGTGATAAATAACACCTCAACTTGAAATATCATTTGCATGAATAGATATATTAGAGATGCATAAAACTAATGAGTCGTAAATAAAAAACAAGTTGGACTCGCTTCCCTTCTCCCAAATTCCAAAGGGATAACAACTGTTTATTTTGGCCATAATGGATTTTCTTGGGGTTAAATGACAATTTTCCCATACTTACCAATGGTAAATGAAACCGTTCCGACATTCAAAGTTGTTCCCAGTTTTTTTTTCAGTTAAAAGTTTGATTTTTTTGTTTTAATCTCTTAAAAGATTATTACAGAGAGTAGCCATCTATGGAGGTCAAGTGCTACGATGGCAAGCACAGATTCCAGAAAAATTGCGATAGACCTAACCGCCGTTTCGGCGGTAAACTAAAATTTATCATATATATATATATATATATATATATATATATATATATATATATATATATATATATATATATATATATATATATATATATCTTTGAGTTGTTTACAATGTATTTATTGTTAAATATGGATATCATGCAAAGAGTTGTTATCTCTTTAACAGTGACCTTAAAAGAAACTAAATAATAAACCATTGCCCCCGTCCTCAGCAGAGGGGGTGACAGAATCAACAATCGGTATGTCGTACAGATATATCTGTCATCATTCACACGTGGGCACGAGTGACGAAGAGTGATGCATCAGCAAATATTTGTCTTACTGTTAAGTCAGGAGCAGGTGTTAACTGTATTCAGATCTACACGCTGGAATGAGAATGAACTACTTAATATGTTTGCAACGACGACTTTACAATGAATAGGCCTGGTGAGGATGCGCAGATTGCGCAACAGACCCTTAAATTACATATATCTGCGTGATGCCATGCCTACTGCAAGGTGTCTGCAAGTCAGATAAGATGTTTGAAGAACCGCTGAATGAATATTGAGGCGTAAAGTAAAATAACACTACACATATTTTTCTTCAATAATGGCACCTTACGTGTTTCTCTTGAGAGAGACACCAAGACGAAGAATAACAAAATTGCCATACATTTACAGCAGAATTAAGAAGTGTTTCAGAACACATTTTTCTAACGCTAACGTTTTTAGTTGCGTGCTAAGGTTATTATATCATTATTATATCATAATCATTGTAAATTCAATAGTTTTTGATATTATTTACATTCTATCTAGAAACAGATTTTGACATCTTTGGTCGATGCCAATAGCAACCATGCCAATAATAAGACCAAAGCCAGTGGCGTATCTTTAAGTGTGAAAATGTGCTGTGAAATGCGTATATGCAGTGATTAGTTACGCAGCAACGGCAAATGCGCACGTGCATGTTTTCATCATAATGGCACTTATGATAACTTTACGTAAACGAACGTGCGTGCGAGCGCACGTCTGGTTAACCACCCAAACAGACCAACTTGTAACTGCGCCTTCGGGATTACTCAAATCAAACAGAATTAATATGGCTTAGAGAAATGTACATCAACTGTGAACTGGGCTATCTTGGCAATTAAACTTTGTACATGTCCACACTATTTGATAAATGAAAGGGTTGTAACGAGAAAACATTGCAGCTTGGCCCTCTTGAGTTGACACTTAACAGACGGTTGCAAACTGTTGGGACGGTTGTTGGGAGCCAGGAAGTATGTGTATTATGTTGTTCTTGTCCAGGTATAAGATAAGAGCGACCTGCTTCTACACGTGATTAACAATTTAAGGTAATGCCCTTTTATGATAGGTCTGCTAAACACTTTTCTTATCTTCTTTATATGCATATTTGATACTATTTCATATTAAGATTTTATATTAAGATTTTAAAAAATGATAGGTAGGCCTACCCATGTAAGTTTTTTTTTGCTTTAGTGATTTAAACTTACAAACTGTGACATGAGACCAATTAAAGGACACGTAAAAGGCGTTACCGAGTATTTGATTTCCGCTTTGACATTAAAACTGCCCGCTACCAGAAGTGTTCTCTTGCGGTTATAAAATTGTATGAAATATACAATAGATAATTTTGAAACAGCTTTTACCACGAGAGATTTTCTCAATAATAATAATAATAATAATAATAATAATAATAATAATAATTCAAGAAAAGAAATACATGTACATTGGATCTTGACGCGTTTTCTTAATTAAACTTGAATCTTTGTGTGAACTTTTATCATATCTTGTCCATATGCGGTTGATGTCGAATCTTGATGTTCTCAAACTTTTAAGCAGTTTTCATGTAAAAACTATAGCATGTTAACGCCATATAATGCTGAACAATTTCAAATTATCGCTACGCATATAAATTGGTTTGTTTCTTGCGCATTTATGAAAAATGAAATGAATGACTTATCCTGTATTTATTTTTTTTATTGTTCTTCTCGTTTTTCTTAACTTTTATTTTTTTCTCCTTACAGTGCCCCTTGTTAATTTTTCATTTTCTGTTTTGTCGTCTAGTCTTTTATGACAACAGACCTTGACAGCGACATCTATTGGCTATAATTTGAGTTAATGAAATGCGCATGCGTCGAATAGACTTCCGTACACTTCCGGCACGTGAAAACCAGATTTGTAAAGAAAATATGTAATTCAAGTTATTTTTTGTGTGAAAATGGCTATATATCACGATGAGGTGGAAATTGAAGATATGGAGTATGATGAAGAAACGGAGACGTACTATTACCCTTGTCCCTGTGGAGACAGATTTGAAATAACGAAGGTAAAACTATTACTTAGTCCTCTTCGTGAATTGGAGTTTCACATAAAGCAGATACTGTACAAGGGTCCTCCGATTCTCTCTCTCTGCGCTGCTGTCCCTATTATGTTCCAGGCTAGTATTTTTACCCTCATTTCTGCCCTAATGGTTCCCCTACATGTTCCTTTGGGCCTGCCACGCTTTCTCCTACCAGGTGGTGTACATTTTAGTACCCGTCTTGGGATACTCTCTTCTCAAAGTGTGACCCAGGTACCTTCATCACCTTTTTAATTAATATTTCCAGGTCGATGTCCTTAATACCTGTTATTTTCTAAAACCTCATGGTTGCTGATTTTGTTTGGCCATCTTTAACCCAGTAAACTTAAATTACCTAGTAATACTTTGTGCCGCCCTGTTTCCATTGTGGGTGTAACTAGAATTTGTTGCTTCTATGCACAATTCACAGTATTTTACTACAGAATGGCCTTACCTGAGTAGCGTGTCAGGTTGAAAACTGAGACAATATACTTCAAGGAATAATTGATGTATTACTTCATCTGCGATCAGTGCCATAATTCAAACTTCACTGAATGTATTCATGAATATTAGCAAGAGTAGCATTGTACAACTTAAATGTTTGAAAAAAAATCAATAGTATTTACTTTCTATCATTATACCTTGAAAAGATATGAGAAGCAATTTGGAGTTTCTATTGGCTATTTAGGCACATATACTGGGAAGTTGTTCTGTCCTATGTCTTGGTTTTACTGACATCATTCACTGTTATATCTGTCCATGTATCCTCTTAAAATTTGGCAGTTATATATTGGTGATTTAACTCTACTATTTTTTATTATAGGAAGAGTTAGAAGATGGAGAGGATGTTGCAACATGCCCAAGTTGTTCCCTGATAATAAAAGTGATCTATGATCCTGTAAGTATATCATGTTTCAAAACCAAATTGTTTTCAAGGATTAGGTGGTTTAGAGGAAAAGATCTAGGACCAATTCTTCACATTCACTTTTGCCACTTACTATTTGTAGTCATTCTGTTGATTGGGATGGTGCATTCAAGATTGATAATTGGTAATTTATTTTTTTCAAAATTTCATCAGTTTTTATTTTGTGTATTTGAATTATATATTAATATATCACTTAGAAGACAGTTTGATTATAATACTTTGTATTTGCCTTTATGAGCATAGGAAGACTTTGCATCAGGAGAGAAGATTGCCGCACCTAGTAGAAGTGATGCTGAGTTAGTTAAACACTAACACAACTGTGTCCCACTTGTTTAGTGAAGTGGGACATTTGACAGGCCGTGGACTTCAGGGAAAGAGGCATACAATGGTGGATGTTCTGTCCACATCAAGTGAGCTAGAAGTCTGGAGAAGTCAACCCATCCTCGATTCCAAGATTCCCAGATTCCAAGATAATTTTAAAACAGATATAAGGACATATAGATACAACTGTCATTGAACGTGGGTTTTTAATGGCAATAGTAAAACACTTGAAAAGAGAGGTGTTAAGCCTCCCAGTAACCACAGGGCAAGATACTGGATTTAACACAAATTTTATCCCAGTCTAAGAAAATTTGAACAACCTGTCCAGTTAAAAGCTTCTTTCACAGGCTGTGATGAATGCGCACAAGATTTAAACCTCACTAAATTTTATTTATAGTAAAACTTATGAGATCTAAGTAGCACCTCTATAGTATCTGTTTTTTTAATGCACTGTATGTTCTTTATAATACTACTGGATTTGATTTTGTTGGTCTTAGTCTAGTCTTTTACATTTTGAAATATCAATATTTATAAAGGATACAATGGACTTTTATCAGTTTGAAAGATGAGGGTTTCATACTTATGTCTTTTGATAGAAATTTGACTTTTATACTGTTCTGCTGGCAGAACCGTTGAAATTAGCAGTTTTTGTTTCTCACAAAATCAATTCCGTGTATAATGTAGAGACCGAATCTTGTTCTAGAAATAGAGTGATGTTAGATATACTTGATGCACATTTTCTTGTGTTATTTATCCCTAAAATGTGCTATTTGTGGCTTTTATGTCTCTTCCACTATCCTGATTATTTAAACAATGTAACAAATTGTTGCCTGTATATACACTGAATTGTGCTTTTTTCGTGGGGTGGGGGAAACGGCAAAAAAGAACCCCCCTCTAGGAAATCCTGGTTCCGCCCCGATGTATAATGTACGTCAAACAAGAGGTGCTGGGTTCTTACATCTACAGCAGGATATATTTATGCAAGCAAGTTGATTCTAGGGGCTCTAATCCGACTCGGGATAGTCTAGGTATCGGCTCTAGTTATGCCCGAAGAAAAAGTCACGCAACACTGCAGTTTTATTTCCAAAATCAAAAATTAATTTTATTACCTGGACATTGCCTAGATTTATGGAAAAAATCTACGTGACAGAAATCGCCAAATCTTAAATTAAGTCCAAGTGAGAAGGGGCAATTGAAAAGATGATTTTGACTGGTAATTAAACGAGCATCGTGCATAGGCATGCAAGTACATTAAAATTAATTTGCAAGATGATCATTTTCCATCTGTACACGCCTTCCGTTTTTTTAACAAAAAGAAAAATGAGAGAATATAGTTTTATTCAACTATTATATACAGTAACATTCAATTTCAAAAGTACTTTAGTAATCATTAATGTATCATGTAAACGCAATTTCTCAATAAATGGTAGTACTAGGCCGTGGGGAAAAACCCGTCTAAACCCTTCGTGGGGAATGCCGGGAAAATGCCCACGCCCAGATAATTCAGTCTTTAAAACGTGATAACTTCAGTTTTTTATTGGCAGGGCGCCTTACAGTTCATAAATATTTCCCCGTTATAGACAGCATGCAGCAACTGAATAAACTTTCTCGTGACTACAAACTTTTCTCCATATACACTATACTGGTACACAAGATGAAGCACAAGAATTTACCAAAGTTCATGTAATTCCTACTGAAAGAGGTATTGAAGACAAAACATTTACTAGTCTTAACACAAACAAAATTAAACCGAGGCTTATTTTAACTTCATCTAGGGTATGAAGTCATAAATAAAGTAACTCGATCCTTTTACAACTGGAAGCATACATCAAAACTTGAATATAGTTCTCTTTCATGATAAAACATAATATAAGTTCAGGTAATATTATTATTACCCAGTCACATCAATGATTGAAATTAAACTTTGACATATAATAGAATAGAAGTTTCTCAAATGTAATTTTGCCCTGAAATCGCAACTACATGTATGATACAAGTAAAGAATAAATCAAGCCTGATTTCATATTACACTGTATGACCGTCCATGCAAATTTCAATATGAATTTTTGGGTCCGAGTAAAAAGGTGCATATATGATGAATTGGATATATTTGTCAACTATAACACTTGAGAAAATAATAATATTAGTAATATTAGTAATGTGCGATCCTCAATCTTGAGAAATGACTGTGTGCACCCAGCCATCCCTCACGAGGAGCTGTATACAAAAAAAAAAAAAACAAAAAAAAACAATGAAATATTTTTTCAAACGTAAAATATTTCATTATAGATTTTGCACAAGCTATCAATGTAAAACCTCTTCATGTAAAAGAATTTACATGAAGTCGGATTTTACAAAGATGTGAGGGTTAGTTGAGGTAAGTGTGCGGATTATGATCTTCTCAAACGCTATACTGACAAACAACTCCACTTCATCAAAAGCACAAATATGAAAAATGACTATATCACTTAGATTGAAATAAAACACAGACGACCATAAGTGGTGGTAGTACCAATGCTTTGCGAGCGAAAACCTATCTGCCTTTAGAATGGATAAAGCAACTGGATATTCTATTTTAAATTTTAATAATAACTGTTGAGGCAGACTTAAAATGTTCACACAGAACCACAATTCATCTTATTCAATTGAACATTTATGGAATTATAAATGATCATACTTAACTTTAGTTTTCTCTTAAGCTATCAGAATAAAATTTTTCACTGTCATAAATGAAAAAATATAACTTACTAAATACAATTACATCCAGGTCATATCTGTGACCCATGAACCGCAAAAATTCTCAATATATAAGAGACTCGAGTACATTATTAGATTGTATTCCTCTTACATTCAATTAATCGCTCTTCATTATCATTCCACATTCTCTAAAATTTTTTGCAGGCAAGCCGTGTCCTTAAAAACCAAGACTGCTAAGACGTCCAATTTAATGAAAGTGGCTACAAAGGCTCGTTGCAAGTGCCATTAAGTGTTTCGCATCTTGGACATTTGGGCTAGGATTAATGGTATCTGCGTTCGGGCATTATTTCTGGAAAACTGCCCTTTCGTAGCCTACAGATGAAATGTAACATGTTCACACAAATGTATTAAAAGTAATTGAAAGCTTGCAATAATTGCAACAAAGAATATGTATGTCACTGGTAATTACACACCGTTAATTCTAGTAAGTATTTTGATATTTCATAATACTTGGGTTCTTAACATGATTGTTATATTCTATTATATTTCTATAATATGACACAAGAAAAACACATTATGATTTAGGAGAGTGCTAAAATTCTACAAAAAGAAAGTGTCTAGAAAATGAGAGGGATAAAGGAAGAAATATGAATCACGAAAACGCCTAACGATCTGAACAATAAACAGATGAAAATATGCTCACTGGTACTATGGTCTCTTAGTATCACAACCGCAGCACTGAGGGTGAGGTTGGGGGTAGTAGCTCCTAGTATTCTAGACCAGTGACATCACAACGTGTGCCTCATTGTAACTGATGAAGACCTGAAAGTTGGCCGATAGGATCTCAAAATATTCTTTTTTTGCAAGTTTGTGACAAATTAAAAGAGCTTTTGGATTCTAAAATGTCTGCAATATGAATTTCCTTGAGTAAATTGTAAATAGAAAACATGTCTACATTTTGTGGCTAGACAACAGTTTCCAAACAGTAATTTAAAACAATTTTGTCTTAGGCGCTGCACAAAATGTCCAGTTTGTTGAATTTGCATTGACAAAAGATTTGTAATATCTATAGAATAATTACAATTAAGTTCATTGTTCACTCTCTACCCTGGCCCATAACTTGCCTTGAAGGGTTCCGAGTTTCAATGGTATCACAACTAGGCAAGAACTCTTGAAATCCCATATGCAGATATCGCTTTCTCCATTTTAACCTTATGAAAGTGAACCATCATCAGGCCAGGCGCTCACCAATGCCATCTGCCTCAACTTCAAAACAGAAATTTAGAAGACATTAGTTTCCCTGTTTACCTCTTCTCCCTACCCAACCCACTAAGCTTAATTTTTTATTCCAGAAGTGGGTCAAGGGAAAGATACACTGCCTTGTAAAAGTGAGTTGTAAAGTTAATGTGGCTGAGGGTTTTCTCAAGAATTTACCTTTACCTCCCTCCCCCAATGTACTAACTTTGAATAACAATAACGATAAGATCGTCGTTTTTTTTATCAATCTGACTTAACTTCAAGATTAAAGGTACGAACAAAAGTGAACTGACGCTGTTGTCTAGTTTGTTTAATTTCCATAAATTGTGTATTTAAAGCAGTCTGCGGCATAAGCAGTTCACTTAAAATAGCAATTAGTTTTATTAGAAGAACGGAATTGCAATCATTTGATACCAGGAATAACTGTGGACTGCTCCATTTTAATCTTTTTGGTCAAAAATTAAAGACTAACTCTAAAGAAACTTTTCATGCAACCCATATCAGTGATCTTAATGAGTAGCAATGAGTACCTGTGCCATGATGACTTCACCAAACTGAGAAGTAAGCCTTCAAGTCATCGTCTGTGCTCTTCCAAGGCAAACCCAGTACTATCAGGTCACTGCTCTTTTTGCTGTCCAGCCACTGTTTTCGAGCTCCGATTCTCCAGGGTCTCATCTCCTTTCTAATCTCCTTTTCTTTTATTCTCTAAAACGTTAACACTTTCAATTATTATTAAGACTGTTTATTGAACAACTAACCCTTTATTGTATCAATATGTCTATTATTTTCGGTATAACCAATAACCGATATACTAATTATTGTTCGGACATGTACATATGTCAATGTTTAAATTGACTATTTGACCATAAAATTTTCTGAAGTTTTAAAAATAACCTTTGATTTCAATGTAACCGTTGCATCCTAATTCTAAAATTGTGAAGGTCTTGTTAATAATAATAATAATAATAATAATAATAATAATAATAATACAGAAATGCAATCCAGCCCAGTTTTATTAAAATCTGTATTCGGACCAATGACTCCGACCTGTAGTTTTTAGGAAAGTTGAGGTCTGAATGGCCAGTAAGGTGAAAAGTTTATGGGAAAGACTGCAACTGAAAGAAACAATTTAGTCTATTTCTCTCCCCAATAACAGTTTACCTATAAGGGGTATCCATCTCAGTGTTACATCAAATCCCTTGGACGCTTCCCCAATGCAGCCACCTCGTAGACAGACCATGACAGGACTCGCTGGACGCTTCCCCAATGCAGCCACCTCGTAGACAGACCATGGCAGACTCGCTGGACGCTCCCCAATGCAACCACCTCGTAGATAAACCATGACAGTACTCGCTGGCACCAAGGATTGATCGGAGTAGCTGAAGTGTAGATCTATGCGGCTTTCTGTTTGCAGTTGTCAGTGGGGGCTCTATCGAGAATCGTCATAATCGAGTACTGTAAAACAGGAAAAAATAGGATTACTTTCCCTAACTATGTCAGCACTCTGCATTCAGGCTTACCGTTAAGGGGTTTCCATCTCAGTGAA